AGTATTCAAATGTTCAAGTGTTCAAGTATTCAAATACTCAAGTATTCTTCAAGTATTCAAGTATTCAAGTGTTCAAGTATCCAAGTGTTCAAGTATTCAAATATACAAGTATTCAAATATACAAATATTCAAGTATTCAAGTATACAAGTATTCAAGTATTCAAGTATTCAAATATTCAAATATTCAAGTATTCAAGAGAGTATTCAAGTATTCAAGTCTTTCAAGAGTTCAAGTGTTCAAGTATTCAAGTATTAAAGTATTTAAAGTATTCAATTGTTCAAGTATTTAAGTGTTCATTCGCAGTGAATGTGTTAATAACTGAACCGTAGATTTTATGCATTTCCGGAAAAATTGTGCTAGTGAAACCTAAAGCAACAAGAAGAAAGCAACAAATTTAGAGGTTACAGCGTATTATAGCAAATCTATTAAAATTGTCACAGAACTTACTATTCATTCTTTACTCTTTGCAACTAATGCAAACAATTTTTATTTCGCATAAAGATCCACAGTCCATTAACACTTCGACGAACACATCTCCTCAGATTTGTAGATTAATTATTACAATAACCAATCGCGTCTTCCTCCATTGATCAGAATCCAGAAGAAAATAAGAACGTTCAAAAAGTGATCGAGATTAAAAGTAAAAAGCTCGACTTTTCGATTTTAATTCGATTACACGAAATATGTACTTCGACTTCAAATAATTTTTGAATAATGTTTGAATTCAAATAATTTGAAGGTGCTGCGGTCAAAGTGTTAATAACCGTGGAAAATGAAGTTCAACATATATGTATTTTGCAGTAGAGAGAGAGATCGCGAACCGCCTGGAGCTCACGGCAGATGGTATGCCAGGGAGAATGTCGTCCGGATCGGCGACAAGACGTCCGAAATCGAGACGGCGAAATGATATCCTCTCGCGATCAGAGACCCCATGTGCTCGGCTCGCAAAGGAGAAACGCGCGCGTGCGCTGCGGATTTCCGCTTACGTGGACGCACTTAATTTGGCCTTTTTACTATCCGCTCGTCTTGTCCGCGGTAAAAGCCGGCTCGGCGCGGCTCGGCGCGGGAATCAGGAGTGAACTTTTCAATCTCGCGGTGGATTCTTGGCTTCCAATCTGCTCCCAATATCACGGGGTATTCGTCGGGCTTTTGAGTTCCGGGGAGTGAATTCCAAAGCCCCTCGAATTCGGTGCGTCGAGTTTATCGAGCGGATAGAGAATCTCGTCCGTGCGCGTCCCATATGTGCACGGCTGACGGCGAACATGTCTCTCTCTCTCTCTCTCTCTCTCTTGAACTAGTCTCTCTCTCCTTCTCTCTTGCACTAGTCTCTCTCTCTCTCTTTCTCTCTCTCTCTCTCTCTCTTTTGAACTAGTCTCTCCCTCTCTTTCTTGAATTAGTCTCTCTCTCTCTCTCTCTCTCTCTCTCTCTCTCTCGAACTAGCCTCACTCTCTCTCTCACTCACTCTCTCTTAAACTAGTCTCACTCTCTCTTTCTCTCTCTGTCTCTCTCTCTCTCTCTGGAACTAATCTCTCACTCTCTCTCTCTGCTCCTCGATTCTCTCTCTCTCTCGATTCTCACTCTCTCTCTCTCTCGACTCTCTCTCTCTCTCTCGATTCTCTCTCGACTCTCTCTCTCTCTCTCTATTCTCTCTGTCTCTATTCTCTCTCTTTCTCTCTCCCTCTCCCTCTCAATGATTCTCTCTCTGTCTCCCTCTCTCTCGATGATTCTCTCTCTCCCTCGATTCTTTCTCTCTCTCTCTCGATCACTTTTCTTTTGATAACTATAATAAATTAAAAATAATGTAACAATATCCTCAAATGTTTCTAATTCTTCTAACAATTTTATACTTGACCTACATTTCTGTTTATAAATCTGTTAAAAAAAAAAAACTGTTAAAAGTGCAACTGTTGCGAGAACCGTAAAATTCAATTTCGTAGGTTATGTATATTCCCAGGTAATACGCACGCGGAAGTACCATAGGAGTCAGAAAAACTACATTTTGTATTTCGAGTTAAAGTGGCTGAGACTGAGAACGGGTAAAAACTTGTGCATTTCTTACGAGATACAAGAGAGTTTATGAATATTTTCATTGAAACTCCCATAAATCCTTAACGCGGCCGCAACCGGTGCTTCTATCCTGTCCGTCCCTTATGGCGCACCGCGACCGTAAAGCACGGGCAACTCGGAAACCCGAAGAATTGTTTCATACGCTCCTCTCCTATTCCGGCTTGGTGACTCGACAAGTACGGGCACGGTAAAAAGTCGGTTATCGGGACCGGATATCATATTGCTGACCACGGTCTGGTCTTGGTGATCTAGCGATCGTCGTTGCACCGAAACTGACGGCAATAAAAGCTTCGGGAAGGTCGCGCACGCGATACTCTACCCACTGTCCCCGCGGCGATACGTATTTGTCCGGAAGCAATAGCGACGCGAATTCATTTGAAAGATCGCGAGATTGTTTGCACCTGAAACGCCACGGCACGGATATAAAAGCCTTGGCGATTTTAGCCAGTTGGCTGTGTGCGACGAGTATACTCGTCGTGGAGAAGTGGCGGTATCTTGTGTCGCGACGAGTATACTCGTCATGGAGATATTTCAGTATTTTGTGTCAGGACGAGTGTATTCGTCACGGAGAATGTTTTGTATCGTGACGAGTATACTCGTCATGGAGATTGTTTTGTCTCGCGACGAGTATACTCGTCACGGAGAATATTTTGTGTCGCGACGAGTATACTCGTCATGGAGAAATAGCAGTATTTTGTATCGCGACGAGTGTTCTCGTCATGGAGAAATAGCAGTATTTTGTGTGTCGCGACGAGTATACTCGTCATGGAGAAATTTCAGTATTTTGTGTTATAACGAGTATACTCGTCACGAAGAATGTTTTGTATCGCGACGAGTACACTCGTCATGGAGAAATTTCAGTATTTTGTGTTATAACGAGCATACTCGTCACGGAGAATGTTTCGTATNTTTTGTGTTATAACGAGTATACTCGTCACGAAGAATGTTTTGTATCGCGACGAGTATACTCGTCATGGAGAAATTTCAGTATTTTGTGTTATAACGAGCATACTCGTCACGGGGAATGTTTTGTTTCGCGACGAGTATACTCGTCATGGAGACTGTTTTGTCTCGCGACGAGTATACTCGTCATGGAGACTATATTGTCTCGCGACGAGTATACTCGTCATGAAGAAATAGCAGTATTTTGTGTCGCGACGAATATACTCGTCATGGAGAAATTTCAGTATTTTTGTCATGACGAGTATACTCGTCATGGAGAATATTTTGTGTCCCGGCGAGTATACTCGTCGTGAAGAAGTATTTGGCCATAAAGTTTCCAAAGAAACGAACAATAATTTGCTTCATCCTCGAGACGTCTTATTTCAGACGTTAAAACGACGTCTTATTTCAGACGTTAAAACGACGCCTTATTCCAGACGTTAAAACGACGTCTATTCTAGCGCTTCTTAAAGACGTCCCGAGCTGGACGTCGTTTTAACGACTGAGATAAGACCTCGTAAAGACGTCCATTTTACGTCATAAGACGTTCAGACCTAAAACGGCCGTAAAATGGACGTCTCCGAGACGTCGCGTGCTATCTAAATGAACTACAAATCCTACATTTATCTTTTTAATAAAAACGAATATACAAAAATACGTATTCTAATAATTTTCACTAAGCGCAGCACAGAACAACAATTTAACAATAATGATCGAAAAAACGTATATCCTTTAAATATATTAATTAGAAAATAATAATTCGAGTCACGGTTTTATTACCGTTTCTCCGCGAATTTCGACGACAGGAATACCGTTATCGCGGATCGACGGGAGATTCGAGATTGAATGGAACAATTCCGACGGCGACCTAATTTTTGAAAATGGCCGCCGTTAAGAAACTCGTCCGTCCATCGGAACGGCGGTACGTGGGAACGGTGCGGGCGACGAGGCGAAGGTGAACGCTGTAACTCTTATTGGCGGAAGGGACACGTGGTTCTAATTAACTTCGTGTCGTCCCCGGGGGATTTAATCCCGTGGAAAACCGTTCCGACGCGGCGCGACCGAGCGCCGAGTAGAAAATGTTAGGACTCTGCATCTTTCGTAATGTCGTGGAACCGCTCGTGAACGAAATTGAAGGTGTCCGGAACGAGGTGCGCGAACTGAGAAAATACGCGGGGCTCGCCGCGGCGAGACGCCGAATTTTTCCGCGTCTCTCTCATCGAAAGCGCGCGGCGGCAGTCTCTTATCCGGCGACCTCGCGTGTGCTTTATTTCCTTATCTCGTTCGCCCGAACGTTCCCGTCTTCGTTATGCCGAAAAGTTTGATCGCCGAGACGCGATAATCGTCCCGCGGCCGCTTAAAAATCCGGCGAGATATCAAAATGATCGTTTCTATTTCAGGCTCGTGTAATTTCCGCGGAACGGAGGATCTCGTTCGCGAGAAAATCGTCTTGAAACAGCACTTTATTCGCGGGACACCGAAAACACCGAGGCGTACATTCGGAGACGTCTCGTTCGCTTTGATTCATCGTAGTCTCTGAAATGTTAATGCGCGATTCGAACGAATCGCTTTGCTCGTTGGTTTACGGTCCCTTGGAATTTCTTTTGATTTCACATCGATTTTAGGATAGTGCATCGACGTGTCGATGAAGCATGAATACGTTAAATAATTTGTTTTTAAGATAAGAAGCTTCGAACAATGCGATCGATTGGGCGCGATCAGCTGCGCGCGAAAAGAAAGCGAAATTTATTTCGTCGGCTGGAAGATTTCTTAAGAAAAGAGATAGTATTGCAGCGTGATAAATGTTTGTTGAGGGAGATGTTGTAATTTAGAAATTTGCGCACGCCGTAACTGCGGTTCGGAGTTCGAGAAAAACTAGAATTTCTACTTTTCTCGTCGACGAGATTTATGAGATAATCGAGGTAACGTTAATATTATTTTACCGAAAAAACACCTTTCACGATACGTTGTTTCTTATTTCTCAACTTACTTATGTTCTTCTCCCTGTACTGTGGCAGCACGTCACCGACCAGGCAGGCGAGGACCAACCAGAATGAAAAGCGATAACGTCCCATTTTGACCTGCGAACAGAAACAATGCGATTAACAAACATTGGCTTTGACCACGCTATAGTAATGGAGAATATACATTAATTAATACATTTACATTACACTGACATTACATTTACATCACATTTACATTACATTACATTACATTACATTACATTACATTACATTACATTACATTACATTACATTACATTACATGACATTACATTAGATTTACATTACATTACATTTACATTGCATTACATTAGATTTACATTAAATTACATTTACATTGCATTACATTACATTTACATTGCATTACATTACATTTACATTACATTTACATCTCATTTACATCTCATTTACATCACATTTACATCACAATTACATCACATTTACATCACAATTACATCACATTTACATCACATTATATAATAATTAGTCGTGAGGATAATATTATAATTTAATTTAACGCTATTCGACTTTCAATTAATGCTTTTTTTAATTAACGAAGGCAGAGAATACGTTTTCTCTTTATGAAATGTCTGCGCCAACTGACACGATTCAATACGATAAAACAATAGAACGATCGGGGAGCATGCCTCCGTGATTAAATCACATCCGATGGAAAATAAAGAACTGTTTGCCAGATTGATTTATGCGTTTAACTAACCGATTGAAATTCAACGTGTTCGATATAGTATGCGTTACTTGGGAATGGAATATCGTATCGGTACATACTTCTATAAACGAATAAAATATAAAACAGAGCTGCATTTAGTGCTACGTAAATCCGGTGTCATAATATCCGTGAAATAATTACAATTTCTCCACCCCGAAACGACTGTGTCCTGGCAGTTCGTATATTTTAGCGTACCGCTGGCGAATTAACATTTCAGTTTCTCCTCAACGAAAAGTCACTGTCCGAGCTAAACTAGGCATCAGGATTTTCATTGCCGCTTGAAACACTCCCGAATTCATACTGCTGGAAACCGTTGCGTGCCACCGTTTATAGAAGCCGTTGTGCCATAATTCAGAATTACATTCATTCGCGATTAAAACGCGCGGAGCGCGAGCCCGGCGGAGCTATTCCAATTGTCCCGGCATTTAGAATAAAGCAACCGTTCAACAACAAGTGGACGTAAAAACTACTTCCGTAACTTCGGCTCTCATTCACCTCGTTCCCGGTTCCCACTCTCTCTTCTCTCTCTCTTTCTTTCTCTCTCTCTCTCTCTCTCTCTCTCTCTCTCCCTCTCACGCTCTCTGTGCATTGTGTTCAAGCAGTTTTGAACATTTTTCCGCGCGAATTCAGCCATCATGTGCCGAACAACGGCGCCCGATAGAGAGACAAAAAGCTAGAGTCAGAGAAAAAGGGAGAGAGAGAGAGAGAGAGAAAGAGAAAAATCGACAGAGACAGGGAGAGAAAGAAAGAAAAAACCGAGAGAGAGGAAGAAGGAAAGAGAAAAATTGAGAGAGAGAGAGAGAAGGAAAGAGAAAAATCGAGAAAGAGAGAGAGAGAGATTCGAGGAGAGGAGAGACAGAGAGAGAATCGAGAGAGGGAGAGAATCGAGAAAGAGAGAGGATCGAGAGAGGGAGAGAATCGAGAAAGAGAGAGAATCGAGAGAGGGAGAGAATCGAGAAAGAGAGAGAATCGAGAGAGGGAGAGAATCGAGAAAGAGAGAGAGAGTCAAGAGAGAATCGAGGGAGAGAGAGAGAGAGAATCATCGAGAGAGAGAGAAAGAGAGAGAATTGAGAGAGAGAGAATAGAGAGGGAGAATAGAGAGAGAGATAGTCGAGAGAGATAGAGAGAGAGTCGAGAGAGAATCGAGAGAGAGAGAGAGAGAGAGATAGTCGAGAGAGAATCGAGAGAGAGAGAGAGATAGTCGAGAGAGAATCGAGAGAGAGAGAGAGAGTCGAGAGAGAATAGAGAGAGAGAGGGAGAGAGAATCGTCGAGAGAGGGAGAGAGAGAGAGAAAGAGGGAGGGAGAGAGAGAGAAAGAGAGAGCCGAGAGAGGATAGAGAGAGAGAGAGAGAGAGAGAATCGTCGAGAGAGGGAGAGAGAGAGAGAATCGTCGAGAGTGGGAGGGAGAGAGAGAATTGAGAGAGAGAAAGTGAGTCGAGAGAGAAAAAATCGAGAGAGAGAAAATCGAAAGAGAGAGAGAGAGAGAATTGAGAGAGAGAAAGTGAGTCGAGAGAGAAAAAATCGAGAGAGAGAAAATCGAAAGAGAGAGAGAGAGAGAATTGAGAGAGAGAAAGTGAGTCGAGAGAGAAAAAATCGAGAGAGAGAAAATCGAAAGAGAGAGAGAGAGAGAATTGAGAGAGAGAAAGTGAGTCGAGAGAGAAAAAATCGAGAGAGAGAAAATCGAAAGAGAGAGAGAGAGAGAATTGAGAGAGAGAAAGTGAGTCGAGAGAGAAAAAATCGAGAGAGAGAGAGAAAGAGATAGAATCGAGAGAGTGAGATTCGAGAGGGAGAGAGAGAAACGAGAGAGAATCGAGAATCGAGAGAGAGAGAGAGAGAATCGAGGGAGAGAGAATCGAGGGAGAGAGAGAGAGAAAGAGAGAATCGAGAATCGAGAGAGAGAGAGAGAGAGAGAATCGAGAATCGTGAGAGAGAGAGAAGGTCGTAGGAAAATCGGGAAATAGCAAAAAGGTAAATGTAAATCAAGATCGATACGGCGGCGCGGAGTGTCGGGGGCGGAAGGCGGGATCTTTTTGAACGGCGTGCTATTTCATATCGTTTATCGCGGATCGCTTTTGACAAGTGGAACAATGAAAACTCGCGCCGTCGCATTACGCGGGAACATTGTCGTACCGGCGAACAAAAGCCGCGAGCAATTTACACGGTGTATTCGGCGCGATCGCGAACGGATCGTTGGCAACAGATGTTGGTATTAACAGGACTGAATGCGAAACGGTCGGCGATCATCGGAGTCCTCCAGAGTAATCGATCGCCATAATGCTTTCACGTCATTGACAACTGTCGAGCGCGCTCGTGGCCGGCACCGGGGGCTGTCAAAAGCGACCCGGCTCGATGAGATCCTGTCCACCAATTACTGACCTCGATTGGCCGCTCATCAATGCGGAACCTATGCCGCGTCGCGGCGCGGCGCGTCGCGTAGCCTCGGCCTCCTCCGTCGTCACGCGTCTTCCGTCCGATCGACGCGACGACGCTCTTCCCGACTGCTGCTGCTGCTGCTGCTGCTGCTGCTGCTGCTGCTGGGACGAAGACACCCGGCAGCCAAGTGCTAAGTGGCGTCTTACACAGCGAAGAGCCTCGAACTTGGACCGTTTAAACTAATTAACGAGCTCCTTCGCCGGCCGATTAGACGCGGAACACCGTGATTCCAGCGTTTCGACCCTCGTCAAAGTCGACCGGCTAGTATTTAACGCGACGGAGTTGCCGGTTCCACGCGCCGATCATACGGCCGCCGGGATCCGCAAAACTTCGGGGACACTCGTCGTTGCATGCTAAACGCGATCCTGATCACCGTCGACCGAGGATAAATAGAAATGATCTGCGTCAATTGCAAGACGTAGATGCTGAGGACAATTGTGTCGACTCTTCGATATTTTGTAGAACCAACGTGTTAAGGCTAAAACCGCCAAGCCCTAAACACAATTAACGTATTATTTATACTAATTGTTGTTTATGCTAGTCGTTGTTTATACTAGTCGTTGTTTATGCTAGTTGTTGTTTATACTAATTGTTGTTTATACTCGTCGTTGTTTATAGTAATTGTTGTTTATAGTAGTTGTTGTTAATACTAATTGTTGTTTATACTAATTGTTGTTTATACTAGTCGTTGCTTATACTAGTCGTTGCTTATACTAATTGTTGTTTATGCTAGTCGCTGTTTATACTAATTGTTGTTTATGCTAGTCGTTCTTTATACTAACTGTTGTTTATACTAATTGTTGTTTGTACTAATTGTTGTTTATACTAGTTGTTTATACTAATTGTTGTTTATACTAATTATTGTTTGTACTAATTGTTGTTTATACTAATCATTGTTAATACTCGTCGCTGTTTATACTAATTGTTGTTTATAGTAGTTGTTGTTAATACTAATTGTTGTTTATACTAATTGTTGTTTATACTAGTCGTTGCTTATACTAATTGTTGTTTATACTAATTGTTGTTTATGCTAGTCGTTGTTTATACTAATTGTTGTTTATGCTAGTCGTTGTTTATACTAATTGTTGTTTGTACTAATTCTTGTTTATACTAGTTGTTTATACTAATTGTTGTTTATACTAGTTGTTTACACCAATTGTTGTTTGTACCATTAGTTATACTAATATATTATTTTGCAACAATGGCAAGATTAGATTTATTTAAACTTCCTACGATTTTTATTATAATACATGCTGATAATATATGCTGTAATATATCGCGAAAGAAGAAAAAATATCACAAAGCGATTCAACTTAAGCGATTTTAAAATCAGCGGGTAATTTTGACCGGTGTTAAATAACTATTTCCTAGCGTTATTTGCGTTATTTGCGAATTAATCATGTTAACGAACGCGCCGAGCGTTCATCCGAAGGACAGGCGACACTATCTGCGGGCAACAAATGCTGCGAAGCACTGACAACAATTTCCTCGCAGCCTCGGAGGCTACGCGACTCAACTGCGAGAAATTTCCGAATGGCAAACGTTTGCCGACCAACCACCGTGCCGCAGTCGCGGCGAAACATCGCCGGTCGGAATATCGTTAATTTCGCGGATAAAGAGCCGTCGCCCGGGCGAAACTTTCCTCTCGGTTCGCCCCGAATCATATTCAGTTTTCCGGCGGCGCGGCATGACACGGCGTTCTTGAATGTCGCGTAAGAGCGCCGAGCTGACGTGGGCCCCGCGCAAACGAAACGTTTCCCTACCCTCTCGTTCCGCGGGCCGCGCCCCTATTCCGAAATCCTCAAAGAAATATTTCATAATATTCCCGGGGCTCGACCTATTCCATCTACGACTCCGCTAGAGATCCTGGCTTCCTTTCAGCCGGTACACGTGAGAGAAAGAGAGAGAAAGAGAGACGA